GGGACCGTCTTCAATAACGGTGAGTCCTGGGGGGCAGCAATGGGGGGGCAGGAGCCTCCCCCGTCACCTCAGAACAGACGCTCTCCTGTCCCAGCATCTCTCGTGTGTGTGACGTAGGTGGGAGATGCTGCAGAGCCCGTGTTAGCAGCAGCAGGAGTGAGGCTGCAGAGAAGGACACTTGGCTCTTACTCATTTTAGGGCTGAGTTTTGCAAATTACTGGTTTTCTCCCCGTGACCCCGGGAATGATTTGGACTCTCAGTTCGTGGGTTTCCTTTCAGTCCCTTGTTTAAGGACAATCCCGATTCCACCACTAGAAATCCCATGAAAAAAGAAAGCAGAAATACATGAAACCCAGGCCCTAAATCTGAGGTGTATCTTGCCCTACTTTCTGTTCCCAGGCTGAAGAGAGCTGAGCATCAGCTGTCTTTGGGATCGGTGTGAAAACTGCCTTTTCACGATCCCAATTTATTTCCTAAGGGGAATAAATCCCAAGGGAGACGTGTAAGGTAGGAGGGATGAGTAGGTGGGACCTCCTTATACTCCCCCTGAGATGTCCACTTTGCCACCCCCAGCCTGGCTCAGCGGGTGCCACTCCAGGTCCCTGTCACTGCCCTGCCCGTCCCCGTGGTGTCAGAGCCACTGACCCGGGGTGAGGGGTGTTGTGTCCCCAACAGTGGACGTGGCCGAGCATCCCCAGGGCACGAGGTGATGGCACACGTGGGTGATGGGCTCCCAGTGACCGTGTCCGTCAGGACCAGAGCTGGGTTTGGGCAGGTTGTTCAGGGGAAGGTGCAGCCTTGCGGGGAGGAGCGAGCAGAGGTTCTGCAGGCTTGGGAGTGCAAAGTGCAGCAGGAAATAAAAGACACAGAAAAGAAAGTTTGTCGAGGCAGGGTGTCACCTCTGGGCCGTGCTGTGTCAGCGCTGGCCGTGGAGCAGGGACGGGGGCCAGCGCTGACCCCGCTGCCTGCACTGTTTGCCTTTTGGCAGCTCCCCCGCTCTCCACCCGCTCCCCGGAGCTATTTGAGACCTTGCAGAGCACGTCCCAGGGCTGTGCCACCGCCACACGGCTGTGCCGGGCTGCCCCACGTCCCTCCCGGGGACACGGACCCTCGCTGAACGGGAGGGAGGTGGAAGGGAGAGGCTGGCGAGCGGCTGCCCCCCCCAGCGTTACCATATACAGCCCAGGCCTCACCGGCCTTCTGGGGAGGAGAGATTAGCTTCCCAGTATCAGCACCAGAAATATGCCCTGCCGTTGCCGTGATGTTTCGCGCAGGAGATGGAAAAGTAGCATGTGCTTGTTGTTTTTTCCCCCCTCTGGATGCTGAGAGCTGGGAGAGGTGGGCTCTGGTTAGTCAGATTTTTGGAGATGATGTTAATGAACCTGGATTTTTCTGCTCCCTGCATCAAGGGAAAGAGACCGTGCCCCGTGGAATTAAGCAGCTGTGGTTTAGGTATAATCCCAATGTAAAGAGAAGACTTTTTACTACTTTCCAAGTAGTTCTTGGCTTTTATATGTTAAGCATTGTCATTTGGGAAACTGCTACCACATGCACTGGTTTTGCCCTGGGACATGTGAGAATATGGCAGAAAGGGGAAGAGAATGAATACATGCGAATTAAAGAAAATACTTTTCCTAAGCAGCTCCATAGATATCTTATAAATAAACATGGTCTCCCCTTTGAGAGCCCGTGGGAATTAGAGCAGCCAGGAGGGGAACAAGTTTGAATTAAATACATTGTGTTTGCTAGATAAAAATCAATGGATTATTCAAGGGGAAAAAAATATACAGCATGTTCCAATCACTTAGCAGCATAGCCGGGGCTCACATTGGCTGGGGGAATGGGTTAGGAACAGCACTGCTTGGTGGAAATATTGTTGTGATGAAGGGGTTTAATAAAACCCAGCAAAAGCAAATGGATCTTGGCAATAGTTAGAGACAGGTTCTTGTTTGGCTTCGAGGCTCTCTGAGGCTGCACGTGGAAAAGCGGCGTCTGGGTCCGGCGGGGAGCGGGGATGCTGTGGGGATGCTGTGCCCCACACCGAGTGGCACCCACGGAGTAAATAACTCCATGTTTTGAGAGCTCCAGTTAAACTCCAGAGCATTAGTTACGTGAAACCTGGATTTTCCAGCAGATCTTGTGCACCTGACAGTCGTGTGCCCCTGATGTGGCGCTGGATGGGAGGGACGTCCTGGGTCTGTGGGGGCCTGGAGTCGGGGAGGGTGAGAGTCACAGGTCAGAGAAGGGATGTTCATGAGGGTTTTTAAGGAGCAATCACCCCTGAATTGGAAAACTCCAAGTTCTGAAGCAAGGGCCCCCCACCTGAGCTGCTGTTGCCACACACTGAGATTTTACATCAGGAAGGTTGGGTTGCATTTGTGCTCTAATTCTGCAATAATGAGGTTCTCCTCCCTGTCTGCTCGTGTGCCCTGCTCTGGCTGGCACTTCCTGCGCAGAAATCAATGCCTCTCTTTGGGATAGAAGTGATTTTTTAAGGCAAAAGCAGTAGCTCAGCTCACGTGACTTTTGGTTAAAGCACTTTCCCAGCCCATTTGCTGAGACCGGGGGGATGAAGGCTCAGGGCCATCTCTGGGCTGCACTCGAGAAGCACCGCCACATTTGTGCTGAAAAATGTGAATTTTTCAACACATTTCACCCCCCGGCAGCTGAGGGAGGGTAGGCAGGGGCAGGTGGGTGCTGTGGGGGGGGCAGGCACCGTGCCGGTGGGGCAGGGAGCGGGCAAAGGGGGGGACAGCAGGGGCTCTCTTGGCTGTCGCAGTGATGGCAGACACCGTGTAGGCGAGCAGAACCCGCAGAGAGTCACAGAAATAGCTCTGAAATTCCAAGCTGGCACTGTTCATCCCGGGGGATGCGGGGAATGTTCCTCTGCCCGCGTTGGCACAACCCTGGCTCCTGTAAAATCAGCAAATTTTCAGTAGCTGATTGAATAAAGAAGGAGTGTAAGTCTTCTGCGGACTGATCAGATTTCTCGTTTCACAGAAATAAAATCAGGGTGTTTGCCTCCCTCCCGGCAGCGGCTGCTAAAGCCGCCTCTCCTGGGACGTGCAGGGTGACGAGGTGATGGAGGTGCCCACCTCCTCCCCGGCTTCGGAGAGATTTTAGCACAAATGTGGAGGAAGTTTTGAGCCTTTTTTCTTCTTTTTTCTTTTTGTCCCAAATGCTTCACTTCCATCGGAAGCATTGGAAGTATTTTGGAAACCCAGTATAATTCATTTCCATTGGAAGCATTGGAAGTATTTTGGAAACCCAGTTGGTGGCTGAGAGTGCAGCTCCCTGGGTCCTTCTGCTGGTTCCACTGTGTGGCCTTGGGTAAGGGGAGGGTGGAGGAGTCCCAGGGCTGAGCAGGAGACACTTCAGCTTCCCGAGCTCCTGGGCCTGTTAGTTTCCTTATTTTAAAACAAACACAAACCAAGAGCCTTGGTCACTCCCTCCCGTGCTAACCTGCCTTTTCCTTCTCTCCTCAAGTCCACCCGTCCCAGGAGCCCGGCTGGCTGGAAGGGACCCTCAACGGGAAGACGGGATTAATCCCCGAGAACTACGTGGAGTTCCTATAACCGCGGTGTGAGAGGCGCCGCCGCTGAGCTTTACATGGTATCCATGGCAGCCGCTGGCAGGAGTCCTGCAGCCCACCCTGCTCCTCGCCCCTCTGCCACGAGGGCTTCCCCGTGTCCGCCGAGACGAGTGTTTGTGTGGGTGATTCCCTGCCTGTCCCCTCCCGGGGAGGTGGCTCCGCTCCTCCAGCCCCGAGCGCAGGCGGGTGATGCCCAAAGCCCACGTCCCCGCTGGGAGCCCTCGCAGCCATCAGAAGCACCCCCAGGAATGCCACAGCCCCGTGCTGCACCCCCCGTGCTCCTGCAGACACTGGAGAGCCCCCCATCCTGCTGCTCCCTGCGGAGACACCCTTGTGAGGTTCATCGGAGGGAGCCCGGGGACCTCCAAGGCATCCTTTGCTCCCGGACCTTCCCCAGCCGGAGCAGAGCCAGGAACGACCGGTCTCTTCTCGGGGTGAGGAGCTTTGGGCTGACACCGACCCGTGGGCTGTGTCTGCAGCACATGGTGTGGGGCTGATGTCCCTCTGGGGCTGGGGACAGCCCTGGCCGGGTGGCCGTCCCACTGTGTCCTGGCAGGGCTCTGCTCTCGCAGGCGAGAGCCGGGGGCTCCCTGGGCATCGGGACCCATCGGGGCTCGGCCGGTCCCAGCACCGTGGAGTGGAAAATATTTTGGACCAAACCTCTTTTAAAAAAAAGAAAAAAAAGGCAGATTGAGAATTTTTTGAGGTCAGAGGTAGCCATCTGTGATGTGTGCAGGCTGCGCTCCCTTCCTGGAGGGCGAGATGCAGCTCCAGAGAAACCCCTTCAGGCGGGTGTCCCCGCTTCCCCGTGCCCATCACCAGGGATGTCCCCCTGGGCGGGTGTCCCCACTCCCCCGTGCCCATCACCAGGGATGTCCCTGCTTCCCCATGCCCATCACCAGGGATGTCCCCGCTTCCCTGCGCCCGTCACCAGGGATGTCCCTTCTTCCCCACTGCCCGGGCCCTGCTGCACCCGGTGGATGCCCTGCCTTCCCCAGCCTCCACCGCTGCTTTTTAGGTGGTCTCCTCGCTTGAAGCCTGGCGTGTAGTCTGTCTGTGCCAAGTCTGTGCAGCACTGGTTGTGCAAGGTAAATTATTTGCATACTCCCGGGAGGATGTTTCCTGCTGGTGTGCCCAGCCTGCGGTCCGCAGGACACGAAGGACCGAGCCCGTGGGCTCCACCACCCCCAGAGAGGATGCTCCTGCCTCCCTGGACGTGCGGCGGGGGGTTGGCAGAGGGAGGGTGCAAATCCCTCTCCGTTTGGGGTCATTTCTAAGGGTGATGGGGGGAGAAGGAGCCCTGTGGGCTGGCTGGGTGGCCTGGTGAGAGCTGGGACGATTATATTTTGTGATAGAAACTGGTGAAAGAGACCCCAGCCTGTGGGCAGAGAGACTCGTGCAGGAGCGACGCCGTCGCACGCCGCTGCGGGACGGACCTCGGGTCTTTTTGTAATAATTTTAAAGCCTCCGAGCGACGGAATTGCTGTATGTGTCACTTTTTATTTTTGAAAGAATTAATGTATAAATAGAGTATCTTAAAATATTATGAGGGAAAGATCTATATTTGATATTTTTAGAAGACCTGTAACGAGAGAAGCGAAGGACATTTGAGACCGGTTGCAGAGAAGCGCTTGCAAACAGAGAGGTGTCCCCAACCCCCGGGGCTGGGGCTGCCCCTGCCTCCCCCCCCGGGTCACTGAAAAGGAGGGAAACTGAGATTGCGGGTCGCTTTACGTTTCTTTCACAGTAATTAAACTTCCTGGACTTTTGTCTTGGGGAAAGAAGGAAAAAAAAAAAGAAGTCGTCTATGTTTTATTTTCTGGATTTGTGGGAAATCCTGATTTCCCTGATTTTCAGAGCTCACCTCTGCGGGGTCAGAACCCTAAGGGACACTCTGTCCCCTCTGGGGTTGAGCTGGGCAGGGGTGAAGCCTCCACCCTGAGTCATGTTTTCTGCTCTGAGGTGTTGGCTGAAGAGGGCTGAGAGGTTTGTCGGGGTAAAAGGTGGCGTTTCCCTGGCACGGTGCTGGGTCACGATCGTCCTTGGATTTCCTCGTGAACATTTGTGCTGTTTGCTGGTTTCCCTGGAGCAGAGGACGGGGCTGGGCAGTGGCTGTGGGGCTGGTGCTGGGACCTCGGGGGCTGCTCGGAGCTGGCTGTGGCCCCCACACTGCTGGGGTGAGACCCTTCCCAGGGGTGCTGGAGAGGGATGGGAAAGACTAATGAAAAGGAGAGAAAAAAGGCTTAATCATAGACTCATGGAATGGTTTGGGTTGGAAGGGACTTTTGAAGGCCATCTAGTCCCACCCCCTCTCATGAGCAGGGATGTCATCAATGAGGCACCCACCACCTCTCTGGGCAACCTGGGCCAGGGTCTCACCACCCTCAGTGTAAAAAAATATTAATATTTCCTCTGTCAGCACTATTTGCTTGTGTTCAGGACTGTCCCCTCTGGAGCTGCTCCTCCACCAGGGTCCCTCCTGCCTTTGTGGGACGCTGCGGGAGCCGGTGGCTTCCAGCCCAGCAGAGGGTTCCCAGCACAGGCTTCTGTCTCCAACGTGACTCACCCTCTGAAGAGCAAGTGCGCTATGGACCAGGGAGAATTTCAGACCCATTAGAAACACCTTAAAAGGCACATTTAAGGGATATGGTATTTAGTAATGCTGCACGAGCACCAGCTTGAGCACCAAAACTTTTCAGTGCCGTGTCCCCCTTCGGCTCCTCAGATGCTCAAGTTACTCTGAGACAGGAGTAGACTCCTTTTCTGAGGCACTTGGGAGCTTTTGGAGATACTGCCTAGAGAGAAATTGGGAACAAAAGTCCCACGCAAACCTATTTACAAGATGTCTTCTGGAGGAAAGGAAAATAAAGCATAAGCAGAAGTTATTGCTCTTACAGAAGAGCTCGTGGATATTTTTTTTTAATTAAAACTTTCCAAAAAGAAAAATATGGCTGAAACGCTTACTAAATGTTCCCATTTTGGGCCAGCTTGAATACTGGAGTAAACATCATCTTATTCCAAGGGAAATTAAAGATGATAGAAAATATTTTTTTAAGCCAGCTTGACATGGCATTTGGTGCTTAATATTAAAGTCATCAGTCAAAATTATAAGAAAGCAGGGGTAGTCAGACATGCCGGTAGGTGAAGTCTCTCCTCTAGTCCCATCGTTTTAGGCTTTGAATCAAAAACCCCAGACATGGCACAGTAATAATCTGTTGAGAGAGATGTCAGACGAGTCTCGGGGTGCAGTCCTGCCGTGCTTTAAGCCAATGGCACAAGTCCCCCAGGTTGGCTGCACCAGCCTTGGTCCCCACATCCCCACACACGTGGCATTTCTGAGGTCCCCTGGAGCCCCTGTTCGAGCTGCTGGCCCAGGTCTCTTTACTGATTTCTGGAAGTTTTGCAGCAGGAAGTGGAGCACCTTGGGTGGTTTGGGGGCACCTGGGCTGCTGCCAGCGCTCCTGTCACACCTCCTGGTGTCCTGCTTGGGGTCAAAATGGGCTTGGGGATGGGTTTGGGTTAGGACTGGGATGGAGTTTGGTTGGGGATTAGGTCAGGGTTGAGTTGTGTTGGGGATGGGTTTGGGTTGGGATGAGATCAGGGTTGGGTTGCGTTGGGATTGGGTTAGGGATGGATTTGGGTTGGGTTGGGTTGGGGTTGGGCTAGGATTGGAGTGGGTTTGGGTTGGCTTGGCTGCTTTTTTTCGAGCAGGCTATTACTCAGTAAGAGCAACAATTTCAGACTCTGGCCACGGATTTTTCAGATTCCCATCTGGCTCCACAGTCAGACAAAACATCCTCCTGGTAATTGTCTTGTCTCGAGAAGACTTCTGCTGAGTTCGGTGGCCTGAAGAGCCGCCCAGCCCATTACAGCTAATTGCAGCCGCGCGCAGCTCGGCTATTGCTGCGACGGGGGGGCAGGAGGACGCCGTGTTGGGGCCAGAGCTTCAAGCTGCAGATGGGCTCCTGCTGGTCCCCGCTGCTGCTGGATGCAGGCTGAGACCGAGCGGCCCTCGTGTGCGGGATGAAGCTCTGGGAACCTGTGTCAAACCATCACCGCTCCTCTGGGCACCGGGGGGACCCGACCTGCCCCACGGTGGGACCTCCCCGGGGCACGGCAGGACAAACGCCTGGGCGTGGGGGAGCGGAGTGAATCCTGCCCCCAGATCCTGACACGGGAGTCCTGTTATATCCATCTCAGGCTCTGCTGCCCCTTTTTTCTGTAAACTGCAGCCGAAGCACTGGAATTTTCCCTGGAAGGAGGATATTGCTTATTTTAGGTTCACTCCTGCTGACAGCTTACAAGGGGGTGGCAGTGAGGGACGGGAGGAGGATGCTCATCACAGCCTTGCACCCTCTCCCATCTGGGTCCCACCATAACCAGCCGATGCCTCAGTTTAAATACTAAAGAGGGTTTATTCTGATTTATCCAAGAGATTTCACAGCTCAAATCCAAACGGCTTCAGGTAATAGTTGCTCAAGCCCCCCCCTGGGGTCCCTTTCTTTTAATTCCGGGCAGGGCCTGCCCCAAGGAGCGATGGGGCTGAGGGGATGCTCGGGCACCAGGAGCTGCATCCCCTCAGCCCCTTCTTTTACTTTTCAGGAGGGTTTTGTTCGGTGTCAGGGCTCTCCCCCACCAGCCTGTACCTCTTGCAGGGCAGGACCGGGGACTGCGGGGGGTTCCCTGGGATCTGTCGTCCAGGAAAAGGTGGGATTTGAGAGTGGGCTCCTCGCAGCTGGGGAGGCACAAATGTCAGGAGACCAAAAGAGCAAACCCCGAGGTGCCGGGAGCTGCCGTGGGGAGGGGGTGTCTCAGACAGACCCTGCTGCCCCCGGGTGCTGCTCTGCAGGGAGCTTGGTGCCCTTCAGGCGCTGGGCAGGAGGTGATGGGCACTGGGCAGCAGCTGGAAATCAGTATCATCCATTGCCATGGGAAAACGCAGAGTCTTCTGCTTCTCCCCATGGCCAGAGGCAGCAGCCACATGCTCTCTGGGAATACTTCCCTTTGGAAGCTGGGTTTGCTGAAAGGGGGCTCCCCATCCCAACCCTCCCCCCCGGGGCTCAGCACCCCCCGCTCCCCAGCACCGCTGAGAACGCCAGGCTTCAAAAAAGCTGCTTAACTTAGAGCTACTGCGTCACGAGAGGGACAGAGGCATAAAGAAAAAAAAAAATCCCACCCCAAAACCTGATTTTTCTTGTCCCAGAGCACTCTCGGAATAGCTCCTTCCCTCTCTGCAGTTCTGCAGTGGCACAGCTCTCCTGTAGCAACATCATTTGTATTTTTTTCAGCCTTCAAGGCATTTCGCCTGAAAAGGCAAAATAAAAAAAGTTCCTCAGTGCCCATGAAACCCTTTCCCCCCTGTCAGGCTCAGCCCTGTCCCTCTGTCACCCGTCGGAGTGGTCCTAGCCCCACTCCTGCCATCCCCCCACAGTCCCACCCAGCCTTTGAGGAAACCAGACCCCGACCCCCCACTTCTTATCGCAGCGTTTGGTGCGATCTCCAGAAATGACTGAAATAGCACAAAACTCGTGATTCCAGTGCTCCCTGAAGCAGCGCGCAGTAAATCACGGCCGGCCGGGAATAGCTCTGGGTAATAAAATCCAGAGCCCAGAAATATCCCTGCGGCAGGGCCGGCGGGAGCGGCGGGGCTCGCCCTGCGCCCCGGGACACGGGGCAGGCACCCACAGAAAAGCCAACCTGTGTTTCTGCTCAAAACAAGGAAACTTTATTTCCCTGGAAGTGGGCACAGCCTTGATTTACGCATAAGCTTGGGGGTTTTTTACCCCACTGGCCGGGAAGGCGTTTGCTCAGTGTTTTTTAGGAGC